TACAAAATTAAAACTATTCTAATCATAGTGATAATAAAGCAAATTGATGGATCTTTTTTTTTAAATCTTCTTTAAAAAAATATTCATTCCTTAAATTAAATCATTACATTGAACAAACCACACTTTTAGCCTAGGCGCAGACCATCGATTTTTAGTCGGCCGATAGTTTAGTCGGAATGTATGGAAGTGCGCACATTACACCGATTTGATTTGGCCGATTCTTCATACAAATTAAAATCGGGCCCAACTATCGGCCAACTAAAAATCGGTGGTCTGCGCCTAGGCTTATAAAGAAAGAAAGAAAAAATGTTTATTTTAGGGCCAAATCTGTACCTATACCTTAAAGATCAGTAGCGCCCTCCAAATTTGGATCAAAAAGTTTTAGCGCTCTTGAGACTCTACTCGCTCTCACTCTAGCGATTTTTTTTTTAAAGTAACAAGCATTAAAATTTTTCAGTCAGTTTTTGTGCAAATCCTAACCTAAAGCATTTTTACATTACAAGAAGACGCATACTGGCATAAGCCAATCGTTTCACGCGTTTACAAAAAAAAATATATTAAAAAGCTACGTTAGGAAAAAAATAAGTTTCGGCCTTAAAATAACATTTTGAAAGAGCTCTTATTCACAAACGAAATACTTGTTAGAATAATATTCATCCAAGTGAAAATATCCATCAATGATCAGTCATAGTCATGACTGATCATTGATGGATATTTTGAAAACTGTCTGACTGTCACGAGCAGTTAACATACGGCCAAAAGGCCTTACGATAATCAGTTTAACTTAAGAAAAAATAACCTCACACCACTGTCATCTAACTTAATAGGTATGAACGCCAATCCGGATGCTCTATAAAATTGATTGATGTAATGTAGCGCATGATTATTATTCCCAAAATCTAAGGGAAAAAAATTATGGAATAGGCAAACTCCTAATTTTTAACTTGCGCTACATGGAATAAAATTTAGAATTATTTGTAATAAGCTGTCCCTATCACTATAACTTCTTCTAGCAGTTTACTTTCTTAAAAGTGGGTGATTTTTTTAATTTAAAACTTGGCTTTTCTGCTGAGTCTGTACCTGAAAGAAAAAAAAACAACCAGGAAAATGGGTCTTCTTCTAAATATTTATAACGAATGCTTAGAAAAATGAAAAGAAGAAAAAATAAACGGTTGCAATTTAAAAATTCGGCTATTCGGGATAATAATATCTATACTGATTTTCGATGAACTAATTAATAGATTTAAATGAGCTTACGATATGATAACAAATCGATATTTTGACCGTTTGATGTTTTGACTTTTCGATGAATACTGTTCGATAATTTGATTTTCGATCGATTGGTATTCGAAATGGCGGAGGTAACCCGTAAACCCTGTTTGAAACTCTATGTTTTATTTTATTTTATTTTATTTATTAGGATAATCAACAAGACAAACACGCATACTACATGAAATTACTATAACTAAAAGTGCTTAAAACTAAGTGCTGTCTTAATTAAAGGCTGCCACGGCATGCAATGTGGACAGTTGCAAATATATAAACTAAAAGATAGTTAGATAAGTTAGCTTATGTTGCATTATTTGCAATATTGAAAGCTAAAAAAAAATATGTTTTGTATCTTGTTAAAATTATCTTGTAAATTAATATCTATCTGAAAAAATTCCCCTGGTTGCCTGCCTTTGACCTACTGATCGGACCACATGAACTATTTTCAGTTGGTTTGATTAATCGGAGTATAAGAAATTGTAATTCCATTTTGACATTTAACTTTGTCTGTAGAATGGTCTGTGAGCTGTACCTCTAGTACGAAAAACTTCAAAGTGTCATCGAAAAATTTTGTATGAAAAATTAAACAGCGCCCCCTAGGGCGGCTATAATATAGGGGGCGCTGTTTAATTTTTCATACAAAATTTTTCGATGACACTTTGAATACGCAAACGAAACGAACTCGAAAGTTTTTCGTACTAGAGGTACTGAGTGTGAGTATACATCAAACGCGCGTGTTACCAAGTTATGGTTCACAACAACACCGCAGATGGCGCGCCAAACGCCCAACTAGATAGCAGTTCCATAAACCACCGCACATGGCGTTGCAGTGCAGCAAGTAGTTTCGCTAGTCAAGCTGAAAGCCACACATGCCACAGAGGGCGCGCCAAACACACAACTAGATAGCAGTTCATAAACCACCGCAGATGGCGTACCAAACAAGAACAACCAAATAGATGGTAGTTTCTTTTAGTACCACAGATGGCGTTGTGCTGCTCTCTCCGCTAGGCGGTAAATTTAGTACTCGACTACGAATATAGATGGCGCACTGCTGGTTCCTCCTTTACCCGCTAGGGGTTCCTGTAGTTCCACCTCGGTAAATTGGTGGCGCTTAAAGCGTTTCACTAAAACGTACTCTAGCTAGCGTGTCGCACGCTACCCTTGGCTCCCGATTGATAGTAGTTCCACCAAGCACTGCAGATGGCGCTGCAGTGTGGCAAATAGTTTCAATCAAAAGGATACAGGGCGCTCTGAAGGGCTATCCGGAGGGACTGGGGGTGCGGGGGAGAAGCTGGTGGTAGATGAACCTGCTGCCGCTCTGTCTCCCGCATCCATAGGCTCGCTGGAGGCCATAGCTGACCTGGACCTGGGACGGTCCTCGCCGCTGGAGTATGATATCTCCGCGGATGAGGAGACCGAGCTCGGGGACAGAATTTGACGTCTGCGGCTCTCTTCGGGGGTTTAAGGTGCGTTCAAATTAATCTGCATCACTGCAAAGCGGCGACTGCCATCATGGCACGAGAGCTCAAGGTCAAAAGATATGATATCGCCTTAATCCAAGAGCCCTACCTGTACAAAGGTGAGGTGAAAGGACTCGGCGGCACAGGTGGAATATTAATATATAATTGTTCTACTAATGATACGAGGACTTGCATTTATGTCAGAAATGGGATAAGTGCGATTCCTCTATCCAGGTTTTCTTACAGGGATCTCACAGCAGTGAAGATCCAAAGGGAGGGGGATTTGCGAGGAGTGATAGTGGCATCGGCATATCTCCCATATGAAAAGGCAGATCCTGTGTCAAGGCAAATGCAGGATCTGATACAACACGGCAACCAAGAAGATCTGGAAACCATCATTGGCTGCGATGCGAATGCTCATCATGTTGTGTGGGGCAGCTCAAACAACAACGCCAGAGGAGAGAGGTTACTGGATTTTCTGGTGAGTNGCGTGACATTTACATATTAAGTGACAGTCAGGCAGCACTCAAAGCCATTGCCTCAGTGAGGGTTGGATCCAGACTCGTTTTGGAGGCAATCTTGGCACTGAATAAACTTGGAAGGCACAACAGGGTGACCCTCATGTGGGTACCTGGACATACTGGAATCGAAGGCAATGAGAGAGCCGACAGTCTAGCGAGACAAGGGTCAGAGGCGGCACCTATTGGGCCAGAGCCGATAGTGCCCTTATCTATAAGCACTGTACACATGGCCATGAGGCAATATACATCCAGGAAGCACAGAGCTGAATGGGAAAGCTCCAACGGCATGAGCCACTCCAAACTATTCCTAGTTGGAAACACAAGATCATGGGAAAAGCTCATACTCAATGGAAACAGAAGGCAAGCCCGAGTGATCACGGGTGCGCTAACAGGACACTACACTACAAACCACATGCTCCACAAAATGGGCCTAACTACGGATGACAGCTGTCGAGCATGTGGAGAACATGCGGAGTCCATGAAACACCTACTCTGCGAATGTGACGCGCTAGCTAGAACTAGAATGGGTCTCCTGGGGTCGGCTTATCCGACGCCAGAAGAATATAGGTCCTTCTCACCCAAGCACTTGATCCACTATATGGATAGGATCTTTGTGGATGAGGGGGGATAAAGGTATAGGGAAGCACAAAAGATCCCAATGGGTCGACGTGCACTGCGCCCATGCGCGGCCCAAAAATAAGATAAGATAAGATAAGATACAGGGCGCTCTGCTAGTCAAACTGAAAGGTTCAACACACATGACACAGAGGGCGCGCAGAACACCCAACTAGATAGCAGTTTATTTTAGAACCACAGATGGCTCTCTCCGCTAGGCGGTAAATTTAGTACTCGACTACGAATATAGATGGCGCACTGCTGGTTCCTACTTTACCCGCTAGGGGTTCCTGCAGTTCCACCTTCGGCAGATTGGTGGCGCTCAAAGCGTTTCACTAAAACGTGGTCTAGCTAGCGTGTGGCGCGCCACCCGTGGCTCCCGATTGAACTACAGACCCCTACCCCACTGCCACCCCCCACCCCTTGCATTTCCGGATTGATCTACAGGTGGGTGAGGTGGGTCCCGCTATGAACCGGCACATTACAGAGGGCGCTACATGGCTCAGTTTATTTATGGGTCATCCAGGATGCCCTTTGAACTATCAATTCAAAATGGCGGAATTTATCAATTGGCGAGAAATATGCAAATTTCTGATTTATGAGCTCAAAATTGCGAATTTACGGGATTTGATATAAGCATTTACAATTCATCGATAACAACATTGACAGTTTGATATTAAAATGTGTTTGATGGAGGGAATCTATTTATAGCTTCAAGTATTGATCGACACTAAAAGAAAATGCGCAGTAGTGACCAGATTACCAGAAAAACCAAATAAGACTGGATTTTAAGCCCAGCAGAAGGCCAAATGACACTACTTATGATAATTGGTTTATACTATGCCCAACCATGGGCTATGTGGGTTTATGATGAAAATTGTGCATTTTAATAGAAATCATTACATGACATGTTAGCTCAACGGCGAGCAATGAGATAGGCCCAACAATGAGCTGAAGTTATAAAAGTGCCTAATTATGAGAAAAAATGGATTTCTTAAATTTTATTATTATGCGATTAGATTACGTTAAAAATAACTCGCGGTCGCGATAATCAGTCGCATTAAGCCTAATCACTTAAGAAGCCCTCCGCCTAAACGTTCGGAAAAAGCCAGCGCGAGCCGAGAAAAACACCTACCTGCCGCCAAGCAGCCAACGGTGAGGATGAAGAAGAACACTAACTTCATCTTGAAGTTATAGTTAAGAGACATAAATCCAAATTTATGCAAATGTCGCGAAACGGGTTCAGTCAACGAGGTCTGAGCCATGACTGGGGCTCCCGTTCGATGCACAAATCTAGCTACATCTAGGCTTCCCAGATAGATGCAGGTCAATAAATTGGTACCTGCGTTCTGTGCGCCCGATCGGTGCATGTGTGTACTTGTTGCAAGCATCCCCCTGCCAGTTTAGGGGCCCGCTGAAAAACGAGTTAGCTGTGAAACGGATCTGAAATAACTTTAAAATTTGAAAATTTGGTTTAGGTTCCTATTTCAATGTAAACAAGCTTCTTTTTAGCTCAGCTTTGTGCAAGAAAAACATTTTCCAAAATGTGCATTACAATAAATTGCATTTTAATTTGGCAGAAATATCAACCATAAGAGTTTTTTCAGATTACATAATACTATCTTAAGTAATATCCCAAATAATTCTACAATTTTAAATACAGAAATAATTAGGAAAACTATTAATATTTAATTTTAAATGAAATCTCGTTAACACCTCTATTGAAATTGACACATATTCCTTAGTAAAAGAAAGTAATTTCGTCAAAAACTAAGCAAATATACCATTCTTTCCAAACCATTAGGTCTCCCAACAATTTTTCATTTCAATCACGAAGCATAGCTCTAACACTAACAACTTAGACCCCCCGCAAGAGAAATGTCCCCCCTTACCCTTCGTCTTGAAAGTTGCCCATTAAACGGCAATAAATTTTGCACGCGATGTTACCTGAAAACGTATTCTGGAAGGTAGGAGCGAAACACACCCTATCGGCAGCAACCTATCTCTATCGAATCTTGTAAATTGGAAAGGAATAGGGCATCATTATTGCGAGGTCATCATCTGAATCAGATCCTCACGCACACATTCGCAGTGCCTAATAGATACACGCAATATACCTATCTCACTTTTCAATAGGCGTGTTCGTTGTCGGAGAGGGACGGGTAGCTCAATCTGGCCGGGGCCGGAGCGTCGATGCCACAAGTGGTTCATATTAGATAATATTTTCATTAGGCGAATGTTTTAAAGATTGAATACATTAGAATTTGAACACGCTCTCGTGTTTTAATAGCATACTGGAATTGATGAAATCTTGGTGATTCTTGGTTGCAGCAAAAAAGTTAGTGTTGAAAATGCAATTCTCTGGAATGATTCAGTTGTTTTTGTAATTTATAATATTATTATTTTAAGATCTAGTTTTCACGCCATCTACTCTCTCGAAAGTGAACTACGGTAAAATTTGTACTTAACACTAAACCACAACAACACAGACAAAGGCAGGCAGTATATCCAGCCATGGTTAGATGGCTCATATAATATTTTCTTATGGCTCAGTTACAATTATGCGCGAAATTGATCAAATCAGATATTGCAATGTAAACGCTCAGGCTCAGGGCCCCGATTGCGCTAAAAATTTTCAACTGTAACGCAACTGGACGACGAATGAACAACAGCTGTTTTGACAAATGCGTATCGCGGTGTCGTTTTGACAGCTAGTTCAAACGATGCTGAAATGTAAACGGAACCTTACTGCGCATCTAAGTAAAAGCTGACAGAATGCTACTTTATCTCACACGCAATTCAAACGCTTCAGGAATATTTGCTGTGTTTGGAATTTTAATGGAAAGTGCACAAATCCGTTTTTTTGTCTTTGTTTGCGTGTAAACTTTACCTTACCTTACAGCCACGATAGCCGAACTTAAGGTGAAGGGGTCTAGTCCAGTCATTATAGTAAGTTCACCTCGGAATTCGAGATACCCAGCTGTAAGTCTGTAAATACGTGTATATTGACACCCTAAAAGTTGTCTCAAAACCTACATATGGTAGGGTGTAAGCAACTATTAAATTTCAAGGTCAACGGTCACAAAAATCGTTTTTTTGCGCTTTTTTTAGAAATATCTCATTTCCTGTGGGTTTTTTGCTATTTGTATTAATTATCAATATTGTAGAATACTAAATTCTCTACAAATTTTGTTTAAAAACTTTTTTTATACGGTGAACCGTTTTCGAGATAGAGGGCGGAGAGCGCGCGGTCACTGCATCACTTCAGGTCTACTTAAGCGGTTTAGATTTTTCATACAAAAGGATTTTCCCGCTAATTCCTGTGGGAATTTCGGGAATTCCTTGTTGTAACTAAGCTTTGAGTTTACTAAGGTACCTACATGCCAAATTTCAAGCGTCTAACTTCCGTTAAGCGTTTAGATTTTTCATACAAAAGGATTTTCCCGCTAATTCCTGTTCCCGTGGGAATTCCTAAGTAAACTATAACCTGCCCAGGTGTATGAAGAATAATTGTACCAAGTTTCGTTAAAATCCGTCGAGTAGTTTTTGTTTCTATAAGGAACATACAGACGGACAGAATTCTATACATGAAATATATTTTCAAAATAACTATCAGGGGGTGATTAGTGATCGATACTGATGCCAAAAATGCAATCAGTAAAATTTTTGTCTGTCTGTCTGTCCGTCTGTATGTTCCTTATAGAAACAAAAACTACTCGACGGATTTTAACGAAACTTGGTACAATTATTCTTCATACACCTGGGCAGGTTATAGTTTACTTAGGAATTCCCACGGGAACAGGAATTAGCGGGAAAATCCTTTTGTATGAAAAATCTAAACGCTTAACGGAAGTTAGACGCTTGAAATTTGGCATGTAGGTACCTTAGTAAACTTAAAGCTTATTTACAACAAGTAATTACCGAAATTCCCACGGGAATTAGCGGGAAAATCCTTTTGTATGAAAAACCTAAACCGCTTAAGTTGACCTGAAGTGATGCAGTGACCGCGCGCTCTCCGCCCTCTATCTCGAAAACGGTTCACCGTATAAAAAAAATTTTTAAACAAAATTTGTAGAGAATTTAGTATTCTACAATATTGATAATAAATACAAATAGCAAAAAACCCATAGGAAATGAGATATTTCCAAAAAAAGCGTTAAAAACCGATTTTTGTGACCTTTGACCTTAAAATTTAATAGTTGCTTACACCCTACCATATGTAGGTTTTGAGACAACTTTTAGGGTGTCAATATACAAGTATTTACAGACTTACAGCTGGGTATCTCTAATTCCGAGATTCTTACCTAATTTAAGCTTAAATGACTGGACTAGTCGGAGTGGCCGACTCGAGATCCGAGGAACGCGGGTTCGAATCCCACCGCCACTCGACTATTGTGGTGAGCCCACTCGTAATACAAGCTTATTTAGCTTATAACGAGGGGCTAATGGGACTATTAGTAATTTGCGCAATACAAATTGTTAATAATCTTTAAAAAAAATGTACACTTACACAGAAAAGACAATAAATGTTTATCTTATCTTAACTACTACGTAGCACGACGCGATGTGGTAATTATGAAAATGGAAACTTCACATGGTGAAACCGCCATCTATCGTTGGGAAGGTGAACTATAACTACGAATGCTATTTTAAGCCAAAACGAAACAAAATCATCAAGTGTATTAATACCTGAAGCCGCCGGCAGATGACTCAAACTTAGCATTGGTTGTTGTAGTTCATTCATTCTAAGGTAGATGGCGCTTTCTGAGAATAAGAAATATGTGGGGAAACTAAAAAAATCTTTTAATTTAGGGCTGATTTTTCAATCGTCAGATATCTTTTAACTGAAGAATAAACTTGTCATCTGACATATTTCCCATACGGAATCTGTCAATGTGCCAAACTTATTCTTCAGTTAAAAGTTATCCGACGATTGAAAAATCAGCCCTTAATGTCCGACAGAATATTATTTTTAATCAATCCCATCGAAAACATAAAATGTGTAATGAAAGCCAAGTTTAATAACAAAGTTCAGACCTAAGGCTTTTTGTTGATTTTTATTCATTTTCTTATGAAATCATGAATATTAATTTGGTCAAATCATAAAAAAACTGGTTGACTGCAGCCTTTAAAATTATTTTTTTACCAACCGGCATAGCTGGGCACCGTTAATCAAATAGTTAACTTCGTTAATCGTTAAACCGTTAATAAAAAAATTAACTTCGTTAAACGTTAAAACGTTACATTTCGCAAGATTTAACGCAAGTTAACGTTAATCGTTAATCCGTTAAACACATGATAATAAAACGAAAAAAATAATTGTATCCAAGGTTCAAATAATTTCGAAAGCTTATTATATCGCGCGTCGAATTGAGGCTTCCGGCGACTGGGACTGCAATTAACTAGGACCGCGGTCCCAGTCGCCGGATCCATAAAAAAATAATAATTTTCTTCCGGCGACTGGGACCACTCATAGATAACTTAAAAGAAAATATTATTCAATCTAAAATTGGTACAGTACTAAAATCCATGAGTGGTCCCAGTCGCCGGAAGATAATTTTCTTCCGGCGACTGGGACCACTCATAGATAACTTAAAAGAAAATATTATTCAATCTAAAATTGGTACAGTACTAAAATCCATGAGTGGTCCCAGTCGCCGGAAGAAAATTATTTAATTTTTACGCATCCGGCGACTGGGACCGCGGTCCCAGTTAATTGCGGTCCCAGTTGACGGAATCCTCGTCGAATGAGGCTTATTCCTCTTTTAGGGTTATTCCGTATTCGACCCACGACAACTCAACCCACTCATTATTTTTTCCTTACTCAACCCAATTTTGTTCCTTACTCTACCCACAAAAAAATTTTAATTTTATGTTCCTTATTCACCCCAAAAACATTCCTAGCTCAACCCATTTTAAAACCACTTAAAAAATATAAGATTTTTATGTACGGTCAGAATAAAAACATATTTTTTAGAAATTTAAGCTCAGTTAACTTTTGTGTTAAGATCGTTCTATTAAATAAAACTACAGGAATTCTCACAAAAGGACAAAAATCAAATAATGACTAATTAGAATCTACTATAAATCCACTATAAATCAAACGACCGTGATTTTTTTTTAAATCAATATAACCAAGCGATGGCGTATAATTTTTTCCCTGGACACTTGTTCATGAATCCCAACTAATCCCAACTAATATTATAAATGCGAAAGTAACTCTGTCTGTCTGTCTGTCTGTCTGTTACGCTTTCC